AGACAGAAAATTAACAAGGATATCCAGGACTTGAACTCAGACCTGGACCAAGCAAACCTAATAGACATTTACAGAACTCTCCACCCCAAATCCACAGAATATACATTCTTCTCAGCACCACATCACACCTACTCTAAAATTGACCACATAATTGGGAGTAAATCACTCCTCAGCAAATGCAAAAGAACGGAAATCGTAACAAACAGTCTCTCAGACCACAGTGCAATCAAGTTAGAACTCAGAATTCAAAAACTAACTCAGAACCGCACAGCTTCATGGAAACTGAACAACTTGCTCTTGAATGTTGACTGGATAAACAATGAAATGAAGGCAGAAATAAAGATGTTCTTCGAAACCAACGAGAATGAAGACACAACATACCAAAATCTCTGGGACACATTTAAAGCAGTCTCTAGAGGAAAATATATAGCAATAAGTGCCCACATGAGAAGCAAGGAGAGATCAAAAATTGACACCCTATCGTCAAAACTGAAAGAGCTAGAGGAGCAAGATCAAAAAAACTCAAAGTCTAGCAGAAGACAAGAAATAGCTAAGATCAGAGCAGAACTGAAGGAGATAGAGACACAAAAAACCCTTCAAAAAATCAATAAATCCAGGAGCTGGTTTTTTGAAAAGATCAACAAAATAGACAGACCACTAGCCAGATTAATAAAAAAGAAAAGAGAGAATAACCAAATTGATGCGATAAAAAACGATCAAGGGGATATCACCACAGATTCCACAGAAATTCAAACCATCATCAGAGATTATTACAAACAACTCTATGCACACAAACTAATAAACCTGGAAGAAACGGATAAATTCCTGGACACTTGCCTCCTGCCAAGCCTAAACCAGGAAGAAGCCGAAACCCTGAACAGACCCATAACAAGGTCTGAAGTTGAGGCAGCAATTAAGAGCTTACCACCCAAAAAAAGCCCAGGTCCAGATGGGTTCACAGCTGAATTCTACCAGACATACAAAGAGGAGCTGGTACCATTTCTTCTGAAACTATTCCAAACAATACAAAAAGAGGGAATTCTTCCCAAATCATTTTATGAGACCAACATCATCCTGATTCCAAAACCCGGCAGAGACTCAACAAGAAAAGAAAACTTCAGGCCAATATCCATGATGAACATAGATGCAAAAATCTTCAATAAAATACTGACAAGCCGATTGCAACAGCACATCAAAAAGCTTATCCACCATGATCAAGTAGGCTTCATCCCGGGGATGCAAGGCTGGTTCAACATATGCAAGTCTATAAACGTAATTCACCACATAAACAGAACCAAAGACAAAAACCACATGATTATCTCAATTGATGCAGAGAAGGCCTTTGACAAAATTCAACAGCCCTTTATGCTAAAAACACTCAATAAGCTAGGTATCAATGGAACGTATCTCAAAATAATAAAAGCTATTTATGACAAACCAACAGCCAATATCATACTGAATGGGCAAAAACTGGAAGCATTCCCCTTGAAATGTGGCACCAGACAAGGATGCCCGCTCTCACCACTGCTATTCAATATAGTATTAGAAGTTCTAGCCAGAGCAATCAGGCAAGAAAAAGAAATAAAGGGCATTCAAATAGGAAAGGAGGAAGTCAAATTGTCTCTATTTGCAGACGACATGATTGTATATCTAGAAGACCCCATCGTCTCAGCCCCAAACCTCCTGAAACTGATAAGCAAGTTCAGCAAAGTCTCAGGATACAAAATCAATGTGCAAAAATCACATGCATTCCTATACACCAGTAACAGACTTAAAGAGAGCCAAATCAAGAACAAACTTCCATTCACAATAGCCACAAAGAGAATAAAATACCTAGGAATACAACTAACAAGGAATGTAAAGGACCTCTTCAAGGAGAACTACAAGCCACTGCTCAACGAAATAAGAGAGGACACAAACAGATGGAGAAACATCCCATGTTCATGGTTAGGAAGAATCAATATCGTGAAAATGGCCATACTGCCCAAAGTAATTTACAGATTCAATGCTATCCCCATCAAGCTACCAATGACCTTCTTTGCAGAACTGGAAAAAACCACCTTAAACTTCATATGGAACCAAAAGAGAGCCCGCATAGCCAAGTCAATTCTAAGCAAAAAGAACAAAGCGGGGGGCATCACACTACCAGACTTCAAACTATACTACAAGGCTACAGTAATCAAAACAGCATGGTACTGGTACCAAAACAGAGATATAGACCAATGGAACAGAACAGAGGTCTCGGAGGCAACACAACATATCTACAACCATCTGATCTTTGACAAACCAGACAAAAACAAGCAATGGGGAAAGGATTCCCTGTTCAATAAATGGTGTTGGGAAAGCTGGCTAGCCATGTGCAGAAAGCAGAAACTGGACCCCTTCCTGACACCTTACACTAAAATTAACTCCAGATGGATTAAAGACTTAAACATAAGACCTAACACCATAAAAACCCTAGAAGAAAATCTAGGCAAAACCATTCAGGACGTAGGTGTAGGCAAGGACTTCATGACCAAAACGCCAAACGCATTGACAACAAAAGCCAAAATAGACAAATGGGACCTAATCAAACTCCACAGCTTCTGCACAGCAAAAGAAACAATCATTAGAGTGAATCGGCAACCAACAGATTGGGAAAAAATTTTTGCAGTTTACCCATCTGACAAAGGGCTGATATCCAAAATTTACAAAGAACTAAAGCAGATTTACAAGAAAAAAACTAACAAGCCCATTCAAAAGTGGGCAAAGGATATGAACAGACACTTCTCAAAAGAAGACATACGTGAGGCCAACAAACATATGAAAAAATGCTCATCATCACTGGTCATCAGAGAAATGCAAATCAAAACTACACTGAGATACCATCTCACGCCAGTTAGAATGGCGATCATTAAAAAATCTGGAGACAACAGATGCTGGAGAGGATGTGGAGAAATAGGAACACTTTTGCACTGTTGGTGGGAGTGTAAATTAGTGCAACCATTGTGGAAAACAGTGTGGCGATTCCTCAAGGACCTAGAAATAGAAATTCCATTTGACCCAGCAATCCCATTACTGGGTATATATCCAAAGGATTACAAATCGTTCTACTATAAGGACACGTGTACACGAATGTTCATTGCAGCACTGTTTACAATAGCAAAGACCTGGAACCAACCCAAATGCCCATCGACGATAGACTGGATAGGGAAAATGTAGCACATATACACCATGGAATATTATGCAGCCATCAGAAACGATGAGTTTGGGTCCTTTGTAGGGACATGGATGAACCTGGAAACCATCATTCTCAGCAAGCTGACAGAAGAGCAGAAGATCAAACACCGCATGTTCTCACTCATAGGCGGGTGTTGAAAAATGAGAACACATGGACACAGGGAGGGGAGCACTACACACTGGGGTCAGTTGGGGGGAAATAGGGGAGGGAGGGTGGGGGGTGGGAAGCTGGGGAGAGATAGCAAGGGGAGAAATGCCAGATGTAGGTGATGGGGAGGAAGGCAGCAAATCACACTGCCACGTGTGTTCCTATGCAACAATTTTGCATGTTCTTCACATGTACCCCAAAATGTAAAATGCAATAAAATAAATAAATGGGAAAAAAAAATTACCCAGTCACAGGTTGTTCTTTATAGCGGTATGAGAATAAACTAATACAATAAGCAAGATATTATGTAGACAGACCCTTAAAAATACTCATGTACTGTGATCTAGTCACTTCACTTTTAGGAATTCACCCTCATTAAGGCACCCAAAAATTTTCATAAGAGCAAATTGGAAAATTCAAAGTAGCTACTTGTCAATTTTAGATTAGGTGATTACAGAAAAGGTGACCATACAATTTTTTTCCCAAACTTGTATGATATGAGGAGTAAAGGAGGGTGCTTTAATAATTTTTCAGGACAATGGTCATAGATCAGGATTTCTCTGGGCAAGAAAGGATATATGGTTCCCTGCTTATAAAAGAATATGAAAATAAAGTATGTCACATTGCCATTATGGAATGATATGTAGTCAGCAAAAATATTTTAAAGAATATTTAACAGATAAGGATATATTATAAAATTTGATTAGTAAATTTTATATCCAGCCTTGTAAATTTTACTAATCATATTTTATAATATATATCCTTATCTGGATTGAAAAAAAGACATAGTACATCACATTTTTAACATTGGTTCACTGGCTGTTGTGATTACAGCTGATGTTTATAGTTTTTCTCTATATTCAAAATTGCCTATAATTTTTTAAATTATAAATATATCCTGCTTCTTTAGGAAGAAATGTAATTCAGTTCCAGTTGATGACGGAAAGTTATTCTTCACAGAACAATGCCAACTAATAAATATAGAAAAAACAATATAAATTAGAAAAATCACACATTTATATTTTTTTAAATAATTAATTATTTCAGACAAAGATTGTCAATTCATTTAAAAATATTTAGGTGAAAGATTGTTGAGATCACAAGGTTTTAAGGTATTAACCCAAAAGTTAGTGGCTACTTGCAAAGTGGCTACTTCCAAAGTGGCTACCTCATAGTGAAGAGATCTGGTGATGACCCTATTAACAAAGTGATCAAATTTAACATCATTTTAGTGAAAAATCGGGCATTATATGTCTTCTGTTGTGATGTAACATAAAATAAGAATGAAACTTATGCAATATTCTGGCCAAAAATCCTTAATTTAAATCAAATTAAGCCATTAGAACCATTTTAGTTTATAAGAAATCCAAAGAAGATAAGAACTAGGAGAACCACAGCATGCAGAAGAAATCAGACAAATCCAGAATGTGGGACATTCTATAAGACAACTCTTCTGCAATGTCTTCAAAAAGTAAATGCTATAAAAAAGAAATAAAGGAATTTTGAGATTAAAAGACACTAGAGAGATATAATAGCTGAAGACAATCTGTGAACCTTGTTTGAAAAAAAGAGAGAGAAGGAGAGAGAGATAAATGTCATCTTTAAATAATTGGGGAAATTTGAATACAAATTGAATATAAATTGGTCATATTACGGTGTGTGTGGAAATAATATGAATATAAAATTATCTTAGATATGATGATGGCATTGCAGTTATCTGAAATATCATGGTAAATATTATGTCTTCAACTTATTTTCAAGGTGTTCAGAAAAAAGTACACATACTTACAAATAGCTATACAAAGTAAATATGGCAAAACATGAATAACTGCTGAATAAAGGTAATGAGTATACAAATGTTCACATTGTACTATTCTTTCAATCTTTCTGTATATTTAGAAAATGTTTAAAGTTAATGGGAAAATATCCAAAAGGTATGTTTAAAGTAATAAATTTGAAGCAGTGTGATTACATTTAAAGCAGCATAATTAGTAGTCCCAGAGTTAACCTTTATCTTTCCAGGTCTGATGTTTAAGTTACATGGAATTGGTGAATCTACAGCCATTCCCTTATCCTGCACACCACTTCGGGCCAGCTTTTCCAGTTTCACTTCCATGGGTCTCATCACTTCCTGTGATATATTTCAGTTTCCATTCTCTCCACCACAAATAGTACCACCTTCTACCTTCTCCATCTTTTAGGGTCCTTATCTCCCCCAAAAACAATGGCAATAGAGCACAGATTTATCAGTAACTAACTTCCTTCTAGTAGCAAAAACAGTTATTGTAAATCACTTACTCCCAGGTACTCCCCTACTTTTCCCAGGCTACCTCACAGTTAGGTTGGGTTCATGTAACTGGTTCAGAGGGAAAAGGCCAGTTCTAGGCCAAGAGAGTCATGAGCCATGCAGCCACTTCCATCCTTGTCTTCCTTAATTGCAGAGCCCAATAGTGTGGCGGCAAAATGAAGGAAGATGCCCCATTCACATTAGACTGTGATATGAACAAGAAATACTTTTCTGCTGTGCTAAAGTCACTGAGATTTTAGGGTTTGTCTATTACAACAGCTAGTCAAAATTTCTTAGTTTCTAAACCTTTCTGAGAGGCTAACAGGAAACCCCTCTACTATTGCATCCAGTTAACCCTTTCTTTGAATATTGCCTTTAATATGCAATTAAGAAAAACAATTGCTGTTCCCTCAGAAAATCTGTATCACCCACAATTTTCAGAATAACACTGCCCATTCTTCCAAATCTCTACTTCACGTAGAAACAAGCACATTTGACCACTTTCTCAAAAAGAAAAGGAAAACAACTGGGTGTAGTGGCTCACACCTGTAATCCCAGCATTATGGGAGGCTGAGGTGGGTGGATCTCCTGAGGTCAGGAGTTTGAGACCAGCCTGGGCAATATGGTGAAACTCCATCTCTACTCAAACTACAAAAAATTAGTCGGGCATGGTGGCATGCGCCCGTAATCCCAGCTATTCATGAGGCTAAGGCAGGAGAATCGCTTGAACCTGGGAGGCAGAGGCTGCAGTGAGCTGAGATCTCACCATTGCACACTAGCCTGGGTGGCAGAGCAAGACTGTCTCAAAAAAAAAAGGAAAAAGAAAGGAAAGGAAGAAAAGGAGGGAGAAAGAGAGGGAGCGAGAGAGAAAAAGAGAGGGGGGAAGAGAGAAAGAGAAGGAAGGAAGGAAGGAAGGAAAGAAGGAAGGAAGGAAGGAAGGAAGGAAGGAAGGAAGGAAGGAAGGAAAAGGGGAGGGAAGGAGGAAGGAAGCCAGGGAGGGGGGAGGGAGGGATTGCTTAACAGGCTGAGAAGTTCTTTTGCCAGGACTTCTACACATCCTCCTTTATTGGTCAGATGTGTCATACCCAGACACATAGAAAGCCAAAAAAGCATTAAAATTGGCTACAATTTGGTTACTTGGGAACAAAAACATAGTATTTTCTCAGAAAAAAAACTCCAAGCCTAAATATAAACTATTGCCTTGAACAATGACAGCATTAATCCTGGAAGAAAACTATCTGGCTGGCTCTATATGAGAATTCAAATTTCTTGATTTCTTTACCACCTATTGATTGGCAACATTTCCAAGAAACAATTTTACTTATTTCATTTTAAATCGATTTCTCTTTTTAGCAAGATTGTGCTTTTTGAGAGCACTGAGGCAAAAAAAAATTCATTTAATTTTACTTTTTAAAATCAATGTCTACAAGACCCTTTCAGTCAATGGATTACCCTTGCTATCCATTAGACACTTTTCTAGGCTGTTCACTGACCTTTTGTGTCTCATATAAGATTGCAGCACTTTTAGTCTTACATCAAATGTTTTTGTCATTTTCCCCCTTTGCTCTTTCTGTCACTTTTAAGTTCTGAACTTCACTCTGTAATTGCTCAGCTTCTCTTTTGAACTTGACATGTATTATGTGTCTTTTGTGCCCTTAATTACATTTTGTACGTTGGGGTTCAACTGTGTTGGTCTTTTCTAATCCTGCTATATTGATTGCTATACATCAAGCCTCCTTCCCTCTGGGAACACTATTTATCTTTAAACTATTTTTCTTTCCAATACTGAGAACCACTGAATTTCTTTCTACTGCTCTTTTTGGGAAATTTCAGATTATCCACAGTTGTGATGACCAAGATGTATTCACTAGAATCATAATTACTTCTCTTTCAACATGAACTCTATATGCATATTTGAAAAAGAAATCAAAGTGACAAAATGTAGAAAAGATATATGTGTCAAGAACAGACAAGACATTTTCAGAATATTCAGGAAGCAACAAAAATATTTTATAAAAATATGAGAAAGAGGAAAAAAGTATGGTTTCTTAAGGAAATATATTACGGAGAACATTGAGTTAAAGTACAGTATAAACACATGAACTTTACAAAAGTAAGAGTGAACAACTTTAATGTCTAGCGCACCAAATACAAAAGAACTAGCTGTGAGAGTGATATCATTTGTCAAATGCAGGCAGACGTCCTATCCTATGTGAACATTACAACAGTCTCCTCATTTGTCCCACTCTACCCACTATTATCTCCCTCCAACCCTTCTCCAGAATGCAGACAGAGTCCTTACCATAAAATGCACACCTTTAATCATTTCTCTCCTAGAAAAACTTTTAATGACTCCCTATTCTAGAATAAAGCCCAAATGCTTACAAAACCTTATGTATCTATCTGGACCCTGTTTACTTTTCTTTCCTCACTTCTAGCCACTTCGCTTTCTTTCCAAAATCTGTATGTTCCAAATAAAATGTTCTTATGGCTTTCCTCTGGACCTTTGTATACACTGGTTTCTCAGAATGCTCTTTCCTGCCCCAACTCCTCTTGGTCTGTTCATTGCTTATTCTTCTTTCATGTAGATGTCTCTTCTTACCCGACTTGAGTAAAATTTAAGCATCCCTCTTTTGTATATTATTACAGTTCATTGTATTTCTCTTATCATAACACATAACTCACTCTTACATTATCATGTTTACTTACCTGCAACCACTTTATTCAGCATGCAATAAAATGGTAATGATAATATTTATCATTTTTGCCTTGATATCCCAGCACCCAGCACTGTACCTAGCACCCAATGAAGACTGATAAATGCTTTGTTGGATGGACGTTGTACAAATATTTAGTAACCCAAGGCCTAATTTTAACCTCTAGTTGCAATTTTTGTTATAAATCTCTCCAAAATAAGAATTAGCAACCATTAGCATGGGCATTAAAAATGTCTCATTAGCAGGATATCTTTGGGATATTGGACAGTTGATGCCAATACTGATGTATCTTTTAACACTATTATCTCTTTCCTGCTAGCCCTTATGGTTAGTAGGAAAGAGATAATAGTGATAAAAGATAGCCATCATGTTCAGAATTCAGCAGCTGGGGTTCTCTTAGCACCCACACAGTCACCTTCACTTGTTTAGAGGTACTCATTTAGCCACCACAACCTCCCAGGTTCTACTCTACAGGAGAATCAGGGTGGTCCATTAAATGCCATCACCCACAATTTTTATCCTGACAATAGGATGGATTAAGCATTTTAGAAGGAAAAGCACTCCTTCCAAAGGCTGTCAACCTCTTTCCATTGTGTAATGAATCAGTCTACTTTTCTGTCTTAGTAAATCTAGTACAATAAGAAAAATTGCATCTCTTTGGAATGACTAAGCAGCTTATAGGATCTCAGGGTCCTCATCCTGGAAATAGTATCCTGGGAACTTAAGATTTAAAGATAGAGAAAAGTGGCTTGAAGCTGTACTGATTCCCTCTAGAAGTCCCTGAAATCAAAAACTACTTAATTCAAAATATTCTGCTTGATTTTAAAAACTTCATTCCCTTCTTTTCAAAATTTCTCCTTCAAGTGCAGGAAATTGAATCAATGGGGGGTACAATAAAGGGAAACTGGATTGAATCAGATTTGGAATATTTACATATTGAAGTTTATGCTCTCAAGTATCAAATTTAGTGGCTCAGGAGAAAAATTCCTTTAAAAATTATGTGAATGTCATTAAGTACTACCTTGATTTTGCAAGAAATGACATTTTTTAAATGTCAGGGAAAGGTAATAAGAAATAAAGAAAGCCTTTGACCATTTGGAGGAACAAATTCAAATCAAAAATACTTTTCATTATTATTAACAGAAGGGGGAAAAACATGAAAATTATCTGGCTTACTGCCCAAACTAACAGTATCCCTGAGAAAGTATTTTCACTCCTCATACTACCAAGAGTATAAGAATTCTGCTACCAAAAAAAAAAAAAAAAAGTGAAGCTTCATGTCCAAGAGAGTGAAGGTAAAGCAAAATGCTACTCAAAATATTGATAATTTATTAGTAAGTGTAATTTAAAATCAAATGCTTTTCGAGTTATAGAATGTAGAATAATCAACCTTTCAGAGTTAAAATGAGCCATGGATTTTCAAAAAGAACATCAATAGAAATAAACTGTAGAAAAGCCATTTGGACTGTCCTAAATCTATAATGGCCCTACTTCTCAAATATGTCTGTTCATGTGCTTCTTTTTATGCCTGACTACAAATTTGCCAACAGATGTTGTGTCTCTTAACAGTCAAACTTTGATATTTCTTCTGTGTTTACCCAGAATTGCTCTCAGTGGTACCTCCTGATTTTACACTTACCAAAAACTAAATGTGGGTACTTTACAAGTGATCCTGACATTTTCTAGTAACTCCTTATTTCCTCAGGTGCTATAACTAGCAACTAATTCTTGATTTTTTTTTTCATACCTGACAGAGCCGATAATCCCATCCTATTACTATCCAAATAAATAAGGTTCAGCCATGAAAGTGCGTCAGAAGTGAAGTCACATACTTGGACCAGTGATGGAAAGGTTGAACATTTGAACAGAAAATTAATGGATTTTAAAGTTAGGAAGTATAATGGATATCAAAGTTAGTGTAAGGCGCTTTCCTGCCCACAGATTAGAAAACCTGATGAGTCTAGAACCTAATAACCACAAATGGCCTATTGCAGCTTTATCAAGATGTGCTCCACGGAACAATAACATGGGAAGATGTCCCCCAGATTGGCTTTCATGAGCAATAAGTGTAGAAGCAGCTACACAACACAGCTTTTCTCTTAGAGATTCAGAACATGCATCTGCATATTAGAAGATTTTTTAAAGCCTGTCCATAAATAGACCTATTTATCTTTGTTTAATCTGGTATTTAACCTAGTATCTGCCAAACATTTTTGAAAATTATTTTTAATTTGTATATATCTATCTTGTAAAATATGTTGCCAAGTTTGTTTGATGACTGAATACCTATTAAGATCTCAGAGAACTGGTTTCCCAAGGAATATGCCTGAGAAAAGCTGACCTGCTCAGCCATTCGTATATGCTGCTGCTTCTTGATCACCTAGGGCTACCCTATAAGGCCAGGCATTGACCATATGATGTTCTAAAACTGTGTTTCTTACACTTCTACATGCATATGAGTCACTGGGGATCTTGTAAAAACATAGATTCTGATTCAGTAGGTCTCAGGTGGGGTCTGAGAGTTGGGGTTTCTAACAAGACTCCAGGTGATGCCAATGCTGCTGGTCCCTGTCACACTTGGAATAGCAAAGCTCTACAGGAAACTGGCAATGGGAACATCTTCATATCGCCAATCTCTTTATCTTACAATTCTTAATAACAAATCTTCCTAAAATACTACTTTCATTATGTCATTTTGCTGGTCAAAATTTTCAGTGATTCCTTCTTCTCTTCCACGTTAGTCATTCAACAATAGACATTTATTAAACCTTTATTGTGTGGCAAATAGATTAAGAATGCCTCTGTCCTTATACACTCAAGAAAGAAGTGGGTTAGAAACAAGGCACAGAATACTGGGAGCCAAAACAGTAGAGAATGGCTAATTTCAGTGACTTGAATGTGCTACATGACTAGACCAATGATTCCCAAAGTGTGTTGCCCAAACCATCAATGTCAGCATCACCTGGAAACTTGTTAGAATACCCGTTCTCAGGGCTCACCCTAGACCTACTTAATCAGAAACTTTAGAAGTGGGGTCTAAAATCTGAGTTTTCACAAGCTCTCCAGGTGGTAGAAAACCACTGGATTAGACAATCAGGAAGTTTCTCTCCAGCTCTAAAATTCTATCATTTTGACTACTGATAGCTTTTTCAATGAATTTTGTTACCCAGACTTTATAAACTAAAAGCATAATCTCTGGAATTGATTTCCTGGATTTAAAATCCAGCTCTTACACTTAATTGCTGTTAAGCTGTAATAAGCTCTTACAACTAATTGGTGTTACTTCAGTTGTTTATGCTTCAGATTATCACCTATAAAATGAGAGTAATAATAGTACCTGCTTTCATATGGTTGCTCTGAAAATTAAATAAACTATAATAATATAAGTAGCTCACCGGGCAAGATGCCTGGCATGCAGTTCTTCGGGTCATAACACAATCATTACCCTCTTATTAAGGCCTTCCTTGGCCACTCTATCCAAAATTGTGACCATCCCTACTATTCCCTTATCCCTTTCCCTGCTTTATTTTTGTCCTTTGCAGTTATTATTTTCTAACATATACTACCTCTTTAAATTGTTGCTTCATTTACTACCATTTTCCATTAGAATGTGAGAGCTATAAAGCTGCCAAAGATTTTTGTCCATTTTGCTAAGAGCTATATCCCCAGTGTTCAGTATAGCGTTTGGCACGTTACAAGCACTCAAAAAATATTGGTTGGGGCTGGGTGTGGTGGCTCATGCCTGTAATGCCAGCACTTTGGAAGGCCAAGGCGGGCAGATAGCCTGAGCTCAAGAGTTTGAGACCAGCCTGGGCAACATAGTAAAACCCCATCTCTACCAAAAATACAAAAAATTAGTATACATTGGTTGGATAAATAAGTGAATAAATGTTAACTATTATTGATATTAATATTATTACTATTAATTAGCAATCTACACTTTTTTATTGAAACAATTTCTACTTGTTTATTCTCACAAATTGCACTTATGTCCCATTCCATGCTCTACTCAAATTATTCCCCATTTCTAAGATTCCCTTCTGTCTAAATTCAGCCCATTTTAGACCCTGCTCAAGTACTGCCATTTCCTTTAATTTTCTCTAATGACTGAATAACTCTGATTCAAGCTCTCTAGCTCTCTGAATGTCCACACTGTTTACTTCAACTGTCTGTGCCATAAAATTCAGCACTTAATCATCTTAATCTAGTGTCAGTAAAATGAGCAACGTTTAAGGAATGACTGAGTCTGCATCATTCATACAGTAAGTATTCCATGAAAAATTAGAGGAATGAGGCCCCAAAGGAAACAATAGGAAACCTTACCATTAATTATCCATGTTGTCCTCAAATAATAAAAAGAGCACTTTACATTTTACAAAGCGACGTTAAGCCTGTTGGAATCAAAATGGAGTCCCTTATGTTAAAAAAAAAAAAATCTGACAAACAGAGCCAGGGAAGGTTATGAAAAAAAAAAAAGCTCTCACACTTGTATAACCGATTGCAAAACCTATCACAAAAAACTGCAAAAACCAAAACCTTGCGCAAAAGCCATTGCACACCTGCCCCCCAAAAAATACTTCTGCAAGGTTACCTACCAAGCAACCTCATACTGATGTCCAACCTCATACTGATGTCATCCATGTTATTGGTCTTTGTAGCCCAGGATAGTGATTTCAAAGCAATTATGTAATACTCCTCATTTTTCCTGTAAAAACCCTTTGTCTTCCTTTACCTCTCTGAACACACATAGCTTACTACGCACATTTTCCCCATTGCAATGCTCTATTCTTGAATATTTTCTTTTAGAGAGCCTATTTAGGTTGACACACTTTTTAACATATCATTCTAGTTTTGATTAGATGATCTCAAAGACTATGTATCCTTGGTCTCAAATTTTCAAAATGTCTTTATATGAATAGACCATTTCTTGAACTGTAAAAAAATGAGCATAAATTGTGAAAGTCATAAAAGAAGCAGATAATTACCCAAGAAGTTGTCAAGTTCAGGGATGGAAAATAATTGCTGCTTTTGCCCTGAGTCCTCCCACCAACTGGGTCTGCAGGAGGCTTCACCATCATCCCCATGCAGCACTCGAGACAGATATTATCAATTGATCAGAGCTGGCAGAAAAGGGGACACCTATTTGCCATCCTAACTTACTGCAACCATTCTGCCTCTAAAGGTAAAGGAAACAGATATTTAAATTTTTAAAGCGATTTACCCTTTACAAAGCACTTGTTAAAGTCGTCAGAATTAAAATGGAGTCACCTATGTAAAAAAGAAAACAAAATAGAGGTGGGCTCTATTTGTCCAGGTACATACATGGTCATACATGGTGGCAGAACCAAGACCTGAGCCAGCCTCCTGACTCTGTCCAGGGCTCTCTGCCCCTCCTACTCCATTTCTGAAATTCAGTACCTACATTTTTATTCTAAAGCAATCGAAACATAAGAAGCAAACCTTTGACAGAGGATTTTCACATTAACGCTCATGAATATAATGCTGAAATGAAAAATGACAGCTTCAAGTCAAGTGACAGACAGGGTTGGTTAGCCTGTTATTTTTTCAGTTCAGTTTATTTACCTAAACCTCGAACGTGTCATGACTGGAAATAGACAAAACAGATTGTTCTAATTCCGCTGTCCTAGAAAAAGAAAAGGAAAATAGTCCTCATTAACAGGAGCTGGGCTCAAGTCCAGTCCTGAAATAACTTCCATTTCTAAACCAACTTTTTAAAGGTGACTTTTTGTTTATTAATGGCAAAGCATCATTTTAAACATAGCTTTAATTACTCAGGTTAAATTATAGGAAAACATACAGAGTTGAAGAAATATGGAAAAGACGTGAGAGAGAGACATAAACATCTATTTTCATATAATAATGGCCATTTCCTCACTGTAGAAATGACGCCCACATTATAATTTTTCCAGAGCCTGTCTCTGAATCACAGTTTCCAAATATTAAAATCACCTCTATAACGCAGTTGGAATAAAAACTGACTTGTCAAATTATACCTAGTCAATTGATATTTCTATCTTGATTAACTCTCATTTTTTTAGGCGTACTATAATTAAAGCTGCTTTTTTTAAAAAAAATCATCATCTAACAGAGAAATTGCCCCTGGCACTGTCTGCTTACCCAAGGAAACCAGGATAGCTGGCAGTTCTGTTGCTTCACAGAGTGAATCCGTTTTAGCAACTATGTTACTTAGTTACAAGGTACCAGCAGTTGGTCCTATAGTACGTCCTTTCGCCCTGAGAAGGTGAGCCTGATGCATATTCGAGGGGAGGAGGAGGAAAACAGCAAGTACACAGAATCCCTTCTCCTCCCATGCACACTGCCACCACCCTGGGAGAAAGGCTGAATCGCAGCTGAAGTTCAGGGTCTGTGCTGCCCCTCCTCCATGCAAAATGGCAGTCAGTTTTGGGTTCTTCCATCATATGGGTATACACAGAAACAATGCCAAAGGCCCTCAGAAAAATCCAGCCACAAAGCTTGAGTGATTCTCACCTTAGCTCCTAAGTTAGCCCAGAGATCACCTGTGTACCATGAACTGGGGTCAAGGCAAGAATGACACCAAGAGTTCTGGCCATATCCCCGCCATGCTAGCCTGGGCATGGCATCTTTAGACAAACAGGGTAGCCAGGACAAATTTTTACTTCTAGAAAGTAGACTAGTATTTCCTGAAGAACGGTGCAAGATACTTTGGAGAACTCTGATTCCTAGCCTAGTCATTACAAAAAATCAGAGATGGTTCCCCCTGTATCACATTACTGAATGAGTTTTTCAGGCAACACATTTAATCATCTGGAAAAGAGTACAAGTTCCCCAACTCACTCAGCAGAAACATTTTTAGTAGTTGGCATCTAAGACACCATTCACAATTACTGGAAATCCTTTAAAACGTTACCACTTTCATAATAAAATCTGAGGCCAGGGACAGTAGTCCATGCCTGTATTCCCAACACTTTGGGAGGCAGAGGTGGGAGGATTGCTTGAGCCCAGGAATTTGTGACTGGCCTAGGCAACATATCAAGACCTCATGTCTACCAAAAAAAAAAAAAATTCCTTGAGAAATGGCTATATGCTTGCTAAATCCAACAAACTAACTAGAAAATAAATTTAAGAGTAGAAAGGACTTGATTTGGAATTACAGTCTGTTCACTTCTCAGCTTTGCAACCTTGAGCAAATTACTTAATATCTCTCAGTCTAACTTTTCTCTTTTTAAAAATAATCACAATAAAACTAATTACACAGTGGAGTCCTGAGGATTACATTTAAAAACATAGAAAAAGTGTCTTCATAAAAATACCTGGCCCATGATAAAAAACTAAATAATTATTATTTTCTTCTCCCATTTTCTTTTTATTAGTAAAGAAAATATCTATGCCAAATGATTTTGAATATTGTATATAGCTTAAAAACTTAAGTAACATGCCAGTGTCTTATCTATGCAAGTGTTGTTTGTATTGCTAATTTGAAGCAACTACTATTTATGTATGTAATTATATGTGAGATTTGAATGAATTATAACTCTGTGCAATCATCTAGTTGAACAGTTCAAATTGGTGCCATAATCTGGATCTTCTTTTCCAAAAATATATTGTAAATTTATTTCTCTTCCAATCAACCTCATTATGATGGAAGAGAAAGAGGGAAAATCTATTCCGCATCAATTGAATAACAGCAATGTGTTATGGCCTCTTTTTCATTGAGTCTGCTTCTTTTGTGTTAAATAACATGTATCTCTCAAAGTATTTTTGCTTCTCTGTCTTCAGGGCCTGCTTATGGCGTCTAACATTGCAAATATATCATTCTATTCCGTTTTAGAAGCAAGTATGTACAATCCTGAAAAAGGAGGAGAGAAAGAAATGGATGTTTGATGCATCTAAAAGAGTAGGGTCAAGGACAACAGCAGGCTTGTCCATCTGCCCATCAGCAAACTGAACTGTGTCCACTAGTTATCAGCAGGAGGTGGCCAGTGGGTATCACACTAAAATTGAATTTCTGCCACTGGGAAGACAAGGCGGTAAGGAGGGAAGAAATCGTTTTAGAATCCATTTCTGCTTTGGCATGATGTATATAAAGAATTGTTGCTTGTTTCTTACACATAAAGTATAAAACTTTTTTTCATTTATTAAACATTTTCTGAATGATTTTTAGAATCTAGGCACTGTGCTGGCCACTATGAATATGAAGAATAATTTCTTTCTTTAGGGATTCTGTTTTATGACGGGGACTGAGAAGTAAACAAATAATTATAATACAGTAAGATGACAGCTAATACACATACAATGTGCTATGGGAACCCCGAGAAAGAAGTAATGAACTATACAAAAATATGGCAAGTTTACAAATTTGTGAGGCATCTTTGCAAGGGGCTATGCTAACTTCTCTGTAATATTCCAGTGTTGATGCCAACACTGCTACAGGAGTGAGACCAACCACAGAAGTAGAATAGAAAATCCAAGAATAAACAGATGGATCTTGAATAGTTATGTTTGTCTTAGGGTAGGAGAAAAAAGTGTTTATTGTCTTTATCTTTATTTATTACAGTCTTTTTCATGTGGATGTATGCTTAATTATGATATAATTTTAACCTTAGTAACAACATCTAAACATGTCAACCTCTGTATTCTCTATCAGTATGCTTGAGGGTGTGACTACTAGAAAACATAGATACAGATACGATATAAATGAAGATACAGATGTATATGCAGATGTTGAAATAGATTTAGTTTCTTGTCTCTGAAAATACTACTTGCAGTATAATTTTTAAAATTTGCAATAAAGCATTGTCTTTTAGGCAATTTCCTAAGAGAAAAGTGAAGATAAGGCATAGCATTTATTGGCACTTTGAAGAATTAAGATGTTAATACAAATACATCCTTAGTGTGCTTTTAGACATATTATAAAGGCTTCTTTTCAATGACAGAAATGAAGAATGAGCGAATTGAGGCACTCCAATTTAAGCTAAAGTAGAAAGTCTGGGTAAACTGTCAGCTTACAAATCCTTTTTAAATGTCTATTGGCTTTGTTACTAGCACACAAATTTGGAAAAAAAATTCACATCAGTTTCTGATAAAATTTATTGTTCCTCTTTGAGGCAATTTTTGGTGCTAATTTACCCAAGTCTCATCTTAGTTATCCCAAGCATTCTGTGTGGTTCCTGAAACCATACATTGCCCTGGAGGGAGCTATCTGCACAATCATATTGGTGTTCCCCCTCCACGGCCCCTGCCCCAGTCACAGGAGCCAATCACACATTCTGAAAGGTAGTCCAAGGCATTTGCTTGCCCCAGGAGCACCAGGGTTTTAAGCACCATGCTTGCCCAGGGTCTCAGTCTGCTTTGAAGAACCCATTCCAAAGAGTAACAGCTGTCACTTTGCATGGCTCTGTCCTGGTGGACACCAAAACTTAAATGCTGTATCCCCAGACAAATTCAAGAGAATATAGTCACATTGTTATTATTATCCATCAGTTGTACAAGACATTAAAGATCCTAAACTGTACCTCTAATCTCTACTGTAGTCAGATAATTAACTTTTTTCCATGCTAAAATTTCATTTGTACTTTCCCTACATGTAATGAAAACCACAATGCCTGTGGATATAGCCTCATGTTTTTATTCTTTTCATCTGCCAACTCTGTATAAGTAATTTGGGGTCACTGTTCTCAATGTATTTCTCTTTTAATAATATCTAGCACAGCTTCACAGGTACCTTTATGTTTAATGAATGTTTTCTATTGATTGTGCTGGTGCTGGTGGTGTTACCAGCCTTTCTGTTCCACTCCAACAAGTATCCAAGTGTTGTCCTAGGAGCAAATAAAGTTTTTCCAAGATCTATGTTATTTTTCTACGATTTTTGTTGTAGATTTCTAGCCAACATAGTTTTTAATTCACCGCATATGTAAAAACTGCAAAAAATGGAATTTAAAAATAAAAAGTAAATATCCTTACACAGTGAGCTGAGTAATGGCTCAAGCCCAAGGAGCCTGACTCATAAATGCTACAGAGAAAGTCATTCATTAACTTAAGGTCAAAGACATGTAAGCTACTTGACAATAAATGTAAGTCAACAGAAACATTAATTAGTGGAAATGTTTAAAAAGTAGATGCCACTGTGAAAGCAATGGCTTATTTCCTTTTAATGAAAGGTGTGATATCTCTTCTAGGTTATATATAATAATTACCAATATTCAGAAAAAAGAGATAAATAAATGAGCAACATGGAAAACACCCAACTTACGAGCAGCTCCAAAACTCCAAGAGCATGTTGTATAATTTTGAGAAAGTATTTTCACTTACAGTATTGTTAGACATAGTTGCTAAAATATCTAGTATTTTCCCTTATAGTATTGTTATACACTTTTTTTTCAGCTCACATAAGCCAATCTAAACCAAAATGTTGAAGTATGATATTGCCCTAATAATTCCATATTAAATTCACCTAACATTTTGTAACACACTTCTGAATTTCTATCTGTGAATAATAACGAAAAACACCATTTATTGAGCATATATGTATTACTCAGGCACTGTGCCAATTTAATCCTTACCTCAGTCTGTGAGATAATTATTATTATTATTTATTTATGGATACACAAACAAACCTAAAATTCTAAAATAATCTGCTATAGGTGTGAGTATGTTAATAACACTGTATGTATGCAGAAAAGAAAATGTCTTTAAGTCTGTCATTCTCCAGTTTTCACACTTGAAAAACACGAAGCAATCCACAGTCAAAGGGCAGAGGCTTTGGACACAGAATTCCCTGCAATATGTTCACAAGATCAGATAAATGCCCCTGTCAGTGACAGTCCATATAGTACAATGTATTTGCAGCCTTGAGGAACATATGTAGATTCAAACATATTCTTGGTTCCTCTTTTAAGAATCCTGTTAGACAGACCCTTAGATCTTATTTTTAATAACTCTTAATCTTTTTTATATACTCAGCCAAAGATCAAAGCTACTTTAAGCTATGCATTCTGTTTTTTCTACTTTAATTTGTACTTATGCCACATTTTACTTTTTTTTCATAGCAAGAGATAGATTTTCCTTCACAAAGGAATACAATTTGCCCTTAAGGGAGTGGTATTCATTTTCAATAAACATTTGGTAAGTTACTACCTTTTCTAAAGTCAAAGACTAAGTCTGAAGAAGGTAAAAAGATGGATAAGACCTAACCCGTGCCTCTGGGGGTCTTAAAATCTAATTGTGGAGACACAAATTGAATCAGGGCTAAGTTTGAAGTAAAGCCTTACACTCCCTCTCCAAAGAACAATTTCTGACACAGTGTTGCTTCTCTAAGGAGCAAGCTCTAATTTTGTCTCAATATGAGAAAGGGGGATAAACAATAATCATCTAGGATAAATTGTTAAAACTAAATGATTCTGGTTCTACCAATAACTCTTAGGGAGAGGGGGCAACGCAGGAGAAAGGGAACAGTTTCAGAATCGACATGAGTGTGCCTGAGGATCTGCTTTTACAAACCACATACCCACAGCTTGCCATGTTCCCAAGAATCACTTCTCTAGGGAGTCCAGGTGTAGAAAAGAAGATGTCAAGCATCTCAGGAATCTGAAGATAGGAAAAGGCTGAGAACCACAAGGTCTAACATGCTGTAGTTTTTGAGGTGCTGTTTCCAATGACAACATAGTATATATTCATTTTTCTATTTGTCCTTATTTAACGTTAAACAAAGAAGAATATTTGACACAAAAGTCCAGATCAAGAGGGATTTAATTCAAGTAGGTGATTACCTGTGTTGCTCATTGAGATAAAAAGCTGTCTCTTCAGAAGTAGGCCTGAATCACTGCAAAGTTGAGTTTCTTAGAAAAGAGTCTATGATAAAAACAAGTATGAAGATGGTTATCTAAAGCAAATTATTTTTATTCATTAACAACTAACCTTTTGGGAATACTCTCTTACTATAATTTACCCTCCCTAAAAACTCAGAGAATTAGCCTAATTCTCTTCTCCACATAAAATACTGCAGATATTT